TTAACAATTTTTTGCATGGTTTATGAAATTTAGGAAAAATAACTGTCTGTTTTTTTTTTCAAAGAAACTTGTTTTTCATATCACTTTCTATCAATATTCATAATTTAATTGCCTGAAATAAATCAAATAACTATACGCCTTGGATTTAATGTTTTGAGTGTTATTATACATGATATGTTAGTGTTGAAGAAATTTTGTTTTCTCATTCCTTTTATTTATTGCATCAATGATAGGATTACTATTTTTTCTTTTCATTAAAGGGAAAAAAATGTTAACCAACTATTATGAGAGAAGACCTATGCTACACTTGGCAGCACAAAAGAGACATGATTAACTTATGAACTATTGAATAATAACACCACGCAAAATGTATAGGAAACAACTAAAACAACACAGATAAAAGAACACTAAATTTGTGTGGTTTGAACAAGAATGATCTATATCCGCAAAGATGGGGAGCCATACTATCAAAAGTTAGTGGCCATACTATCAAAAGTTAGTGGAGTCAAAATAAGAGAAATATACATGCACTTCTCAAATTCCCTTTCTAAAAATTAAGCAGGAGATGAATAGATCTCCTAAACTTTGAACCAAAATTTTCTAGTGAAAATAAAACAACAAAAACAACATCAAGCCTCTGTGGGATAGATTTGCTGTCGTATTATGAGTCAAATTCACATAATGTCATTTCTAATATTTTGATTCTTTTTCAAGACTTGAGAGACCAACATGTTCATTTAATATAGTTGGGGATCATTTTTTTCCTTTGCTCGATAACCAAATGTAATATAACTTGTGGGAAGCGAAGGTTGTTAAAACTGCATGATATTAGACATGCATATCTCCATTTACAATAATTGCTTTGATGACTCCTGATAAAGTGTCATCCTACAGATTATTCTCTATTTCAAGGATCTTTGATCGACATATTTATGCTCATGTTAAGAAGTGTAAGTTGAACTCACGAGCTAAGAAATGTATATTGAAAGTATTATATATGTAATGGTCTGTACTCGCTAGACAATTTTCATATATTTGGTTTTTTCATATGTTTTCCTGTCATCGTTGTAGGCATTCCAATGCCCTTTACAAAACCTGTATTTGAGCTTGACGAGCTGCCCATCTCTAAATTTCATGACAATATTGTGGTTCATTTATGCATTCTAAAATGTTGTGTTCATTGTTGCCTATTGTCAATGTTGGTGGTACTATTTAGAGGTGTCAATTATTGACCCGATCCGAACCCCGATCCGGAAAATTCATATTCGTATCAACCCGTTTAACAAACGGTTCGAGTTTGAGTTGCAGTTTTTGAGCCATTTGAAAAATCATGTCAGGGTCTGGTCAACTCGCTAACCCGACTTTGACCTGAAATCTGAGAGACTTGGTCATCTTTGCCTCCTTGAATATATCCGCAAAACATAACACCATAAGAAAAGCATAACACTGATCTCATACCCTTCACTAGAGGAATGGAAGAAAGGTAAATAACAAATAAACAAAGGCTAAATGAAATAACGCAATCTGCAACTTGCTTATCTATAAGAATATATCTGCAAAGCATAACTCTGATCTCATTCCCTTCACCAGAGCAGAAACCCAACTTCAAAAAGCAAAAAAAGAAAAGCATCAAGTCCCTAGCTAAAAGCCAACCTCTAGCCATCACGCATTGATGAGAAATAGAGTACTGTGAGCACTAAGCAACAGCGACAGTTGATTACTCTTCGGTTTTTCAATTGCCTATCCTTCTCCACGCTGCGCTCTCTTTCTCATCCTCCGCTTGCTTGCATCGTGCTCTCTCTTTCTCATCCTTCTTCAAACAACTCTCCCTTGAACCGTCAATCGTCGCTTCTCTGCATAGCTCCTTCGGTCATTTCTCTTTATCTATCTCGTCTTGCCAAACAAAGGCTGGGCGGCTTGTGACTCCCCATGCCTCGTGAAATGCACCAGCCTCACCTTAGTCCTAACCCGCCATGCCAGCCTCGCCTTAGTCCTAACCCGTCATGCCAGCCTCGCCTGCGAATTCAAAATAAAGCGGGTCCGCAGGTCATGTCAGGTCAACCCGGCAACCCGAGCGGGTTGTGTCCGGGTTGAATTTTTTGACCCGTTTACAAAAAAACTAGTTGGGTTAGGGTCAACCAGTTTAAGTCCGAGTCAATCCGGATTCGATCCGAACTTGAGCCGCGGACCTGTTTTGACATCCCTAGTACTATTGAATGAGATGACTTTTGTATTCACTAGGCCATTTGGCATAATTGCTTAAAATAACATAGATGCATCAGTGGTTATCTACTAATGTTAGCACAACAAGACACTATGCGACGCTTATATGGTTGTAAGCATCAATTGATATTCTTTTATTTATATCTGATTTTTATATCCCTGGATGCTTTAGTTTGTTTTTCTAAACTACTTGGAAAAGGTTTTTAATCATACTTGATTATCTTTTATGCGGTCTTTTGTTGAATGATTTCTCTTTTAATAGTCTTCAATTGTTTAAATAAAACTAAGTAGACTATCTCTAAATGTTAAGATTTCATGTGTACCTAACAAGGCTTCAAAATTGCTTTATTATTATTCTCATTTAATTTGTGCCAAGCTGTGTGGTGATCATACTTTGTTGCACAATGAATTTTTCAGACCCCGAGGGTAAGTATGAAGCCTTGGAGAAATATGGTAAGGATTTGACAGCCATGGCACGCGAAGGGAAGCTTGATCCAGTTATTGGAAGGGATGATGAGATAAGGAGATGTATACAAATATTGTCTAGGAGGACTAAGAACAATCCAGTCTTAATCGGTGAACCTGGTGTCGGGAAAACTGCCATATCTGAAGGGTAAAAATAATATTTCAATTCCTGCCTTTTTTTTTTTTTTTTGATACATTTACATAGGGAGAAATGATAACTTTATTAATTGATGTAGATGTAATCCTTTCACCTTGTATTTGTGCTATGCAACAGGCTTGCTCAGAGAATAGTTGAAGGTGATGTACCCCAAGCTTTGATGAACCGCAGGGTATGTACTCCTCTTATGTCTAAGGATTGGTATTTATGAGTTTTTAATTTTTTTTCTTCACTAAAAAAATATTGGCTTAAATAAAAACAAAACTGGACATGCTTATTAACAATTTTATATTTATCTATTAATAAATTTTTATATAGCATTAATATTTTTCTTATGCACCAAAAAAAAAAATTCCAGGCTGTAGACACTCCTGTACTTAAGCCAGTAAGGTTGAAGGGAGGAGAAGATTTGATCTAATTTAGCAGTCTCCCTTGGAATGGAAAAAAAGATCCTTTTCCTGATAGGCTCTTGGCTGGACGTTTTGGTATATAAAACAAATGCCCAGTTCATCCACTCCCAACCATCCCAATATCACCTTGTCCATCCGCATGCCTTTTACAACGAACCTCAAGAGAATTCTCCTCGTTTAAACCACCACATCTCCATCAATGCTCCATATGGATATGAGTAAAATTTTATTTAGTTCACCGTCATTTTACTTTCTTTATTTAGTTCATCTTCACGATACGCTGTTCAGTCCCACAATATTGGAAGAACTGTTGCACCTTTTCAGGAGTGCAGGAATAATCAATCTAGAGAAAGTTATGTTAATTATCACATTGCCAAAGCAAACCATTTTATAATAAAATGGACAGCGTTGAACAATCAGGAGAAACTGCATGAAAAGTAAAAAATAAGCAATGAAGGTTTCATTTGGGATGGCTCTCTTACTGTTTCTTAAAGCAATTTTTTAGTATATAAATTAAAATTTTTGTACTAAAATGATGCTTTAAGAAGCAGTAAGAAAGCTGTCATAAACGAAACTGAAATCTTATGTTTTTATAACACTGTACATACTCCCACGATAACAAAAGATTTATTTTAAAAAAAATTTAGTTCTATGTTCTCACAAACTATATATATGCATGCATTCATTTGTGCGCTAATGAGTTGCCGGTCAGCAGGGACCATCGCAAAATCCTGTTTTTTAACGTCTGAATCTTGCAAACTTTGCAGTTGATATCTCTTGATATGGGTGCTCTAATAGCTGGAGCAAAGTTCCGCGGTGAATTTGAAGATAGACTAAAAGCTGTCCTGAAGGAAGTAACGGACTCAGATGGACAAATAATCCTCTTCATTGATGAGATCCATACTGTTGTCGGGGCCGGTACTTTAAACGGCTTGCTTACTTAAATTTCAAAACCTGTGAAGTATTTCATGCTTAGCACTTCCATGAACCTAGAAGCTTGGTTTATGTTAACCTCTGTATAAAGAACAAATAAGGAAAGGAGGAATAAATCTAGCGTACAAACCTTGCACCCGATGAATCCACGAAGTCGTGCCGAAATCC